GCCCCAAGAAGAGAACTTCTCTCACGCCGAATTCGCATTTAGACTGTTTGCAATACAGCTCACTATTTCTAAGTGTTTCTAGAACTGTTTGAAGATGATGCTGATGATCTTCCCAGGTCTTGCTGAAAACTAGAATGTCATCCAAGAATACTACAACGAATTTTCGGAGATGCGGTTGCAGAATAGAGTTCATGAGAGACTGAAAGGTGGCCGGGGCATTAGTCAGCCCGAATCCCATGACTCTAAATTGGAAGTGGCCGAACGGCGTATTAATGGCCGTCTTAGAAACATCCGAGTCTTGAATTCTGATTTGATTGTAGCCTGACCGCAAGTCCAACTTGGAGAAATATGCACTGCCCTGGATCGTGTCGAATAAGTCATCAATATTAGGAAGACAAGCTTTGTTTTTGATCGTAATTCTATTCAATTCTCGCCAATCGCACACCATTCTCAGAGTACCATCCGACTTTTTCACAAAAAACACAGGTGCACCGTATGGCGACTTACTTGGCTCAATGAATCCCTTCTCAAGTAATTCTGATAGCTGTGACTGGAGCTCGTCCATCTCTGGTTTCGGCAGGCGGTAGGCGGGTCGAGACGGTGGTCTGGCTCCATCTTCTATCTGGATTTCATGGTCGACTGGTCTCTTCGGTGGAAGCTCATTCGGCAGCTCGTCTGGAAATAAATCCTGGTACCTCTTGAGCAGGTTCTGGATGTCTTGTTGCTCTGATTCCTGGAGTTGTGGCCCGGAACGATTCTCCTCGTTTGCAGCAGTGACCCATGCGTGACCCATGCAAGAAACCCCTCGGCTCCACTCCTCAGGGCATGACGAGCTTGTCGGCCACTGATAAACATGCTTTCCACAGATGGCCGGTCGGCTGTCGGCGGGTTAGCTGAAGGCAATTTGGCAACAAAGGGCTCACCGTCCAACTGAACTTCGTTCGTACGGAAGTTGATGCTGGGGTTGTTCCTTGTAAGCCACGGCTTGCCAAGAATAGCGTCGTAGCGAGTCAGGGGATACACAGTAAAGTGCTGTTCCTCACTGAAGCCCCCGACTGTCACCCTTAGCGTGCGTGTGGAAATCTGCGGGACCTCGCTGGTCGAGCCGTCCGCCAATGTTACGCTCAGCACTGCTGAGCTTGCATCCGTGTCAAGATGATGCTTTCGAACAAAACTGTCTGCAATGAAGTCATGCGTCGAACCGGAATCTATCAGCATCACTGCACGGCGACCGCCGATCTTTCCCTGTATGCGCAGTAGGTCGTGTTCAGGTTCATTGCCGACGCTGACGTTGCTGACATGACACCTTTCTGCAACGGGACAATTTCCTACAGCTATGGGTGTCTCCGGCTCCGTAGGTTCCTGGAGAGCAACGTCTTCAACCTCCAGAGCTCCGAACCGGTTAGCGACTGGTACCGGCGTGGGCGCTTGGGTCGTCGCCAGTAAGCGCACCCCCTTTCTTACTGGCGACCAGCGTTTGGGTAGCGCTGTCCACCCTCAGTACAGTCTTTAGCGAGGTGGCCTGGCTTCCTGCAAGCAAAGCAGTGTCCCATTGCTCGCAGTTGGACACGCTCTTGGTCCGTCAGCTTGCGGAGGCCCTGACCACGGAAGCTGGGCACGGAACGCGACTCTCTACTGGCTGGTGGCCCCGACGCCGGTGGCCCTGACGACTGCTCCACGGTGTTTGCTGCCATGACAGCTTGCTCCAGGGTACGTGGATGCTCACGCATGACCTGTCGCTGGATGTGCGGCACTAGACCCCTGACGAACAGCAGCGCTCTGGTGTGGTGGTCGATTTCCGGCACTTGCAGGCTGAGGCGAGTGAAAGCAGCAATGTATGCGTCCAGCGACCCGCGCTGCGCTGCGGAAATTAGTCCCATACGCGATGTTTCCTCGTTGTGCCGTGGTCCGTACACATCGCCAAGTGCCGCTTTCAGAGCAGGCCAGTCGGAAAACACTTGGTTAGCTTCCAATGCCGCTATCAACCAAAGACGAGCGTTTCCAGTCAAAAATCCTGCCGCGTAGTCGACCCTCTGTGCCGCATTTGGGAGTGCCAACGACCGTAGGGCCATGTCCATTGCAAACGTCCATTCTTTGAATGTAGCGGAATCTCCTCCAAACACAGGCGGCTCTTTCGTAAGGCGGGGTGTTGGCTCCCACGGTTCCGAGTTCGGATGTATCGTTCGGTGTCCTTGGCTAACGCGCTGAGCGGTCTTGATATCGTTTATCAGCCGAACGACGAGTACGAGGAGCGTAAGCAGAGCGACCAGAACACCTGCCAAAAGCAGAGTAGTAACCATCCTCTGCTACCAGTGTAACAGGTTTAATCAAACTTGAAAAGTAAGAGGCCTGGTTGAGCGTGCCTCGACCAGTTATATGCAAAATGTGATAGTATACATGTGGCAATGGCGCCAATGAAGGTGCTAATAGACAGGCGTAAGACGCACGAGGTGCGAGGGAGTGTAAAGTTATAGAGAACAGGGGAAAACTGTTACAGGGGGTGCCTGCAGCACCTTGTGGAGTGGCTGCTTCCTCGCGACCAAATCCACCGCCGCTCGTCTTCCTTTGGAAATGCGTCTTGCACAAAGCGCATGACATGGATACTAGTAGACTGGCATGGTCGTAGTCCAGCCAGGGTCGACCTTTCTTCCAAGAGTCTTGGAAAGCGTGAGTTCTTTTTCTCTTCGCTGCGGGCTCCATCGTCCAAATCACTAATCGGCTGAAAACTTGCCACTGTGTGAAAAGCTATAGCCAAAGTTACGCTTTTGACTGCCTGCCTCATCGACTTTGAATGTCCTGACTTCCTGCTCGCCGCTGGCCAGATCGCGCTCGAACCAGTTGACCCTAGCCGAGTTTCTGTCGCTTGTAGACTGTAGACTGTAGTGTGTAGATCTACCATGGTGTACGGTTGCGCTAGATTTGCAACAGATGGGGTCCGCGAGTCGTAAAACACCCGTATTTTAGGAATCCATTGTCAGTTTGAGACATTTTTCAGCCGGGTCAGACTGGACCCGGTGTTATCTGTTCAGCCAGGTCGTGCAGTTCCCCAGCCGGGCGCGTGACCCGGCTGACCCGGCTCTCCAGCAGGCCCTGACAAGGTAAGTGCCTTGCTGTAATAGTGCTGTAGCAAGATGGGGGCTGGTGTAGTAGTTGTCCGTAAAGACGATATGCACTGCATTGGCATAATCTTGGATTAGCTGCACGACAACTGCATCCGTGAGACCAGTCTCTGTCTGCCCCGCAACTGACCCAGTGTAGACGTTGAAGTCAAATAGGTATGCTGTAGAAACATCTGCAGCAGCAAACACCTTGACGCCCCACTTGATGGGCTTCTTGGGCATATACTGGCGTAGATAGCTGCGCCCCTTCATGCGGATCATCCGCTCGTCGATGCTAACACACTGCTGTGGCCGATACAGCGACTTGCACACCTCTTTCATGTGATCATTCAGCCACCTGAGTTTTTTCAACTTGTCAGTCTCATCTTCCTCAGTTGGTGAACTCACATGAAAGAATGCATGCAATGCTTTGAATCTCAGCTGTGATGGAATGAACGATCTGGCCCAAGACCCGTTGAATAGCGATGTGCGCCTCCAGTAGTCAGAAATGCATGGCATCTTCACTAAACTCATGTACAGCAGTAGGGCAATAAATTTGCGGATCTCAGTCGAAGTGGTCTCTGTCCAGGCACCCTGCTTGTCAGCATAGCTAGGAAAATCCAGGATATGTATCCAAGCGTACTCGTTTGTAGAAGCAGCTAGGCGTTCCAGAACAGTGTTGGTGAAAAATAATTGAAAGAATTCAGACTCTTGCATTGGAGTCGCTCCCTCGGGTAGGTGGATACCAGGTTCGGTCGCTGGGTGGAACACAGGAACGGCACCAGTCACGGCATTGTCAGCATCGTCCCAACTGTTGCACGTATCCACTACTGCAGGTTGAACTGCTGGCTGTGCGTGCGCACCACGACCTCTACCGCGACCACGTCCTCTTCCACGTCCGCGTCCTCTCCCTCTACCTCGTCCTCTGCCACGTCCTCTCCCACCAGTAGCAGCACGGATCTCCTCGTCGCTGTTGTCGTCTCCGACGTCCATGTCACTGTCACTGGCGCTGCTTTCACCTGCAGTGTCATCGTAGCTGTCGTCGTCAGAAAAATATTTTCTACAGGATCGTCTGGCTCCACAAACTCATCTTCGCTGGACGAGGCAGCGACAGGGTCGTCAGGAAGGGTCTCCAGCAGCAAAAGAGCTTGCTCTGCATTCATGGTTTGCGCAGCAGAAGAGACAGTCGCGAGGCCAGCTCAAGCTCAAGTCGAAAATTACTGCAGGCAATAGGAAAAGTCGTAGAACGCATTTCTCAAAAAGCACATGTTTCAAGTCGTGATTTCCGCGATTTTTTATGTTGCAACACATAAAAAATGTGTCGGTACCCTGTGCGCATACATCTAGGCTATCAGTAGGGAAAGTCCCAGCCTTCTGCGGTGAACCAGTCCAGCGCTGTGGACACAGAAGTCATCGACCGCGAGCGGTCGAAATTTGTACGTACAAACGGTAAAGGGTTAAAATATTTGTGAGTGAAAAATACGTTTTTGCACTCTTTTGCTCCGCTCAGGCATGAAAAAAACAAAAAACTTTGATGGGGAAAGGCCATAGATATGGCATGTGACGTCAGCGTTTCCACAAAAAAGTGACACAAAGAGTGGCCGAAAGGGTGCCCGGTAAACCGTAGTGCCTGTAACTCCGGGGTCTGGATTACCGACGTATGAGTGTAGAAGAATGCAACAAGCAACGATGGTCCAGGGCCGAGGTTTTGGTTGATGTGTTTCCTATATTTCGGACGCAGTTTCGAGACCATTTTCAACACAGGGATTGATAAGATCATTGTTTAGATGAATCGGCTGCCGTGGAATCCTGTGGCGTCTTCAAACTCTGAAAACGGAGCGCTGAACACCATTCATACACACTCACAGCAAAGCACAAAATACGATATTCGTAACGACTGACCTTCATTCAGATAGCTCTCACTTGATTTAGCCGTGGCGTCAAACGGTGCCACTGCCATCCTCTGCAGGCGGCTGATAACGTCACCTCGTGGAGCAGCAGTGGTGGCAGCAGCCGCGGCTCTGCTTGGCAATGCTGTTGTACTGACATTCCCTGGTAGCTTTGCGTCATAATGCACTGCCGTCCCCACCACAACAGCACTCGGTGTGGATGTTGCCACCACCGCTGGAATAGCTACTGTTTCTGCTGATGCTGATGCTGCCGGCGGCCTTGAAGGTTGGTTGAGTGCGGATTTGAGCGTCCTGCCTGGATAACACAGGGGAAACAAATCACCATGCACAGAAAACTGAGTTGATTGACTGAGAGTTCACGGTGTTTGTCAAGAAAAGTTATTGAAGGGCAGCTGGTGCATGCACATAGTCGTTGATCAGTTGACAGCATGTATACAAGATGGAGGACGCACTGACTGTCTTGAAAACAGTGCTCCTGACTACAAACACCATCGGCTGGCAAAGGAACCGGGGCTAGACCCCATAAGGTTGAAATGGTTCCAAGACCGGCACTCTGCCAACCGATGATGGTTGTAGTCAGGAGCACTGTTTTCAACACAGTGCGTCCTCCGCCGCTTGTAACATGCTATCAACCGATCAACATGTTAATCTATCAAAACAGGTTTACATATACATGTACAAACATGTTGTTGGATGACAGCATGTACCAAGGCGGAGACCACCGTGTTCGAAAACTGCGATCTTACTACTACAACGCGTGGTTGGTAGAGCCACGGTCTGCACGACCATCTGAACCGTATGGGTGTTAGCCCCGGTTCTGACCCTCTATAATTATTCTCTTTGATTATACGGGTTCATATGGTCGTGAAGACCGAGGCTCTACCAGCCACGGAGGTTTTAGTAAGATCACTGTTTCCGAACACGGTGTCCTCCACCTTGTTTCATGCTGGCAACCAACAACATGTTTCAACAAAAAAAAGTTATCTAATATGTACAACCATGTAGATGGTTGTACATGTCTGCACCGCTCCACATGACCTACATGTATTGCTAACACACACACACACTGGACCAGCAGAGGCCATTCAGTTACTGTGCAGAACAAGAGTGACTTGGAAGCTCAGGGCCCTACGCTATGCTTTTTGGCCTTGCTCATCATGCATTTTATTAGAACTGATGGAATTGTTTTTTTCTCTTTTTGCATTTGAGGGTAATACGACACCGTCTACCACCTTGATGACCTAGGCAAAAAAGCATAGGGATGTTATAAATGTTTCATTTCTCCTATTTTTTTTTCAAGACATAACCTGGGATTCGAACCCGCACTATCGCCCTGCATGCATTCCCAGGGCTGCCACTTGCTCCGATTTTTCGCTTTTTTGATCGCCTGTCGGACATACCGACTGATTCTGTTCCCAAAGAGGGACAACCGATTATTTTATTTTGAGCGCTTCCAGGTCGCATTTGGCCAGTCATTGTACATGTACATGTACATGTAGCTGTAAAATGCACCTGTGCTTGCATGTGCGTGGACAGTTAAAAATGTGTTCTGGGGCCAACAGTAAGCCATTTTCTTAAAATATTTCACCAGGGACACCCCCGACCCCCGGCATATTTTTCTCCCTCCAAGTGTGGTAGCCCTGCATCCCCCCGATACACTTCGCATACATACTCATTCTTCCAAGTTACTTCACGTTATGATCTTGCATTTGAATGCCCTATTGGAATATTGCGGGTAGCCGTCTTTGAAGGTACAGTACGGGACAGGTACGGGATAGTGCCAGGCATGCCGATGGCACAAACAAACAAACACACAATTAAAGCTGTGTGGACCCTGGCTAGCGCCAGACGTTACTGAAGTAACGTCTTTTGCATAGCTACGGGAATAAAGTTATTTGGCCGCTATCCAAATATTCTTCTCTCGAAATTTTACGAATGGCTCCTAAGTCTATGAAGAAGAGGCTCCCAAGTTTGATAAGAATTCTTTTAGTCTCCACTCCAGAGGAAACTCACGGTGGCCGCTTATACCTGGAATACCCTAGCAATGGATGCAGCTCCCAGCGCTTGGCGTCGGACACGCCGAAAACTCTATTTCAACATCCACGTGCCTCCTTGTGCCCGGTTGTGCCAGGGCACAATATCACAGTTGACTGTGGGTATAGAGGTTGGTCGATGAAATCACCGGTTGGAAAGCTTGAGCAAAGCTGCGGCAAACCGCCCTAGTGATGCACTAGAGACTCACTCTCTATACATGCCCATAGCGCTCAAAAGCAGTTCCCCTGCACACTTAGCGTCCACAAGCGGTCCCGGAATTCTGCTGACTCCTCATTACGACTTCTTTCATTACGACCTCTATGCGTAGCAACACAGCTGGAAACCTACTTCCTGGCAGGGCATGACCAGGCACTATTGCCTCTTACTAGTGGGATACATGTCAGGACCGGCGAAAGCAGTTTTAGATTGGTCCGGCCATACCCTAGCCTTTCATACAGTTTGTGTATGATATGTAGCGGGGTAGTCACATGACTTTCATACAGTTTGTGTATGATATGTAGCGGGGTATACACATGACTTTCATACAGTTTGTGTATGATATGTAGCGGGGTATACACATGACTTTCATACAGTTTGTGTATGATATGTAGCGGGGTGTACACATGACTTTCATACAGTTTGTGTATGATATGTAGCGGGGTATACACATGACTTTCATACAGTTTGTGTATGATATGGAGGGTATACACATGACTTTCATACAGTTTGTGTATGATATGGAGGGTATACACATGACTTTCATACAGTTTGTGTATGATATGGAGGGTATACACATGACTTTCATACAGTTTGTGTATGATATGGAGGGTATACACATGACTTTCATACAGTTTGTGTATGATATGGAGGGTATACACATGACTTTCATACAGTTTGTGTATGATATGGAGGGTATACACATGACTTTCATACAGTTTGTGTATGATATGGAGGGTATACACATGACTTTCATACAGTTTGTGTATGATATGGAGGGTATACACATGACTTTCATACAGTTTGTGTATGATATGGAGGGTATACACATGACTTTCATACAGTTTGTGTATGATATGGAGGGTATACACATGACTTTCATACAGTTTGTGTATGATATGTACCGGGGTATACACATGACTTTCATACAGTTTGTGTATGATATATAGCGGGGTATACACATGACTTTCATACAGTTTGTGTATGATATGTAGCGGGGTAGTCACATGACTTTCATACAGTTTGTGTATGATATGTAGCGGGGTATACACCTGACTTTCATACAGTTTGTGTATGATATGTAGCGGGGTATACACATGACTTTCATACAGTTTGTGTATGATATGTAGCGGGGTAGTCACATGACTTTCATACAGTTTGTGTATGATATGTAGTGGGGTAGTCACATGACCTCCTCAGCAGTAAACACACCTTGGTGGTCAAAACAGTTGGTCCGGCCATGGCCTGACCAACTGGACCGGTTTCACCGGGCCTGCATGTGGGTGAAAAGCAAAAGGCTGAACAACTAACTTACCGCGCGGTTTCACTGCCACTTTCCTGACATGGCCGAGCTCTGGTGCAGCTGCTGCTTTCTGGCCCGTGATTCGATTGTACAGACGATCAGTGTCCGTGTATGGACTCTCCTCACAATGACGCAATGCCAATGGTAGTTTGAGGTGGTATGATGTCATGCCTGCAGTGAATCACCATGGCAATGTCCAGCACATCATATAACCAAGCCATTATACTTAGGAATGGACTCGGATGGAGAGCCAAGGATTAGTTGATAGAAAAGAAAAAGGATCAAGGAACAACAAGTTACGCTATAATGTCCATTAACACCACCAGTTACTAAACAATCAGCTCATGCGATAACATTGCACGACACTGACTGATGGTACTGACATTCTACAACTAACTGGCTAATAGCTCTAGCGCATCTTGAATGCGCACTCCAACAGCCTTCCAACTTGAACTTTACGTTATTTTTATAACTTAGAACCTTCCAAGTTGGAAGGCTGTTAAAGTGCGCATCCAAGATGTGCTCAAGCTATTAGCCAGTTAGGTGTAGAACGTCAGTATCGTCGGTCAATGTCGTGCAATGTTCCGCATGAGCTGGTTGTTTAGTAACTGGTGGTGTTAGTGGACATTATAGTGCAACTTGTTGTTCCTTGGTCCACTTTCTTTTCATTATACTTAGGCTTCCTCTAAAGCTGCATCTGCGCCTTAGATCTTTGCAGGGTGGTGGTGTTCCTATGGATGCTGAAGACTCAGTCTAACTCAGTCTAAAGCAAACAGTTACCTCTTTCCTTTATAGATACTATTTCGCTATTTTGCTAACAACACCCGTTCGAAAAATATAGATCGCCACAGAGAAAGAGAAAGAAAGAGAGAGAGAGAGAGAGAGAGAGAGAGAGAGAGAGAGAGAGAGAGAGAGAGGAAGATAGATAGATAGCTAGAGAGAGAGAGAGAGATAGATAGAGAGAGAGAGAGATTGCAAGGAGAAGCCCATCAATTTTGTGATGTTGCCGCCCAGTACAACTTACCTTGCAGCATAATTGGTAGATCTGCTCTCTTGCAAATTGTCTTTCCGAGGAACACCGGTATGAACCGGCGCTGCTTTGCCGCATTGGCGCCTAGCAACGCTGATCGTATGATACGAAATTGAATATTGAACAGCTCCGGATGCTGGCACAAACCCTCCATGGAAGGTGGGCCTGTAGACCGGGCTGCCAATTATAACAAAACAAAAGAACACCAGGAAGTATAGAGGTTATGCAAGTACATCATCAATTGATCAATTGAGATGCTTTGGAGAATCCATGTGACAGGAACGATGATCAAAATTGCATTCATTTTAACGAAGCAGGCTTCAAATATTATAATAAAATTAAAAAAAATTTCACGGTTCGCGTGAGACTCGGCTGGAAGCCCAGTTTTCCGCATCCGTCGTGGGAACGCCACCACCCTCTTGGATCAAAGGCGCAGATGCAGCGCCTAAACGGTGGGAGGTGAGTAGATCAGACCCACCACCAAGTGGTCAAAGACCGAAATCCCATTAGCTGCATCCATGTTACCCTCGTGCCAGGCCACAAGTTCCCAAATAACTGTGGGTCGCAGCACGGCTGGAAAAATTCCTTCCGCTCCCAAACAGGACTTGAACCTGGTACCCTCTGTTTCTCAATCATGGTCTTAGACCATCCCACTATGCCTGCCTGCAATATTATAATATTATTAATAATTTTGTCTCTTTCCCTCAAACTAGTGAAGATTATTAATAGTAATAATAATTTATTTGAATGAAGAGGCTAAGAGCTTTCAGAGCATGGACAAAGATGAATAATAATGCGACGACTCAACATAGGTGTCGTTCTGGTGGGCTGCTGCACTTTTCCTACTTGGGCATGGAAAGATATTTTAGGGTGGCACGGTCGGCCATCTGAGACTGAGCCGGTATACTCCAGGTGGAGGGGTCTCTTCTAAAAACAAATTGAAAACGTAGAGCCCAACTTCAGAGCATTTTAATGGTGTGCGGGGTACTTGGGGCCAATGGTGGTATGGTCAAGAGGGTAACGACCGTAGGGTGTCTAACGTCGCTGCCCTACCATGCAATGTGTGCGACCTTGGATGCAAAGTGTGGGCACGTGGACGAAAGCTACCCTGCCCAATCAGGGTTCAATTTTTTCTCGGCTGGAACATTTTCCTGGAAACAAACCAGATCATCCTGTAAGCAAGTCGTAAGCCGGCCAGAACCGGTCCGGTTCGTCAGGTCAGTGCCGGAAATACCTTGTGGCCACCAACACGTGTTCACTGGTATGGAGAGCATGGCTGTGTGGTGTGTACCCACCATATCACACGCTAAAGTACAGTGAAAACCTGTCTAAGACGACCGCTCAAGGGACCTTCAAAACGTGGTCTCTGTTACCAGGTGGTCGCCTTATCCAGGGTCATTTGACTGGAAATAGCATCCCTTGGTGCTGGTTGCAGTGGTCTTCTGGGACAGGTGGTCGCCTTATCCAAGTGGTCGCCTTGACAGATTTTACTTTATGAAAGGGTACGGTATGGTCAGATTAATCAAACACTGCTTCCTGAGCGGTGCTGAGTCATGCCCTGCCTAGTAGATCCCCTGGGTCTGTCTCTTCACTGAGCTGTGCTGTCCTTGTTCTTACCGGAGAAGTGCTTGCAGTATGCTGGTGTGACGAGCATGAGAGTATAGTCGCATTGTGTCAAACATTCCTCCAGCCACGCTACCCAGTCGTCTGTGCAGGTGAAGGCATGCGTAAGATGATCAACCTGATAGAAGCGGAACAGATTTACATTCACACATGTACACACAAATGTACACACATGCACATACACACACGCGCACGCACGCACACGCACACCTCAGACCTCAGACATGCCCATCGCGGAAGCGATGATAGCGAACAGCTATGTTAGACATGGCAACTTGTGCTGGGATTACACCATTCAACAGCTTGCAAGGCTGACACGCACACACACACACACACACACACACACACACACACACACACACACACACACACACCATTGGACCATTGGACGCCCATCGCCAGAGGCGATGATAGCGATGCTACAGCAGAAGCCATAGCAGCTTGTGCTGGGATTGCACCATTCAACAGCTTGCAAGGCTGAAGAATTGACCACCACTATTCAGCCTGGTCTACACCACACAGCTATGAAGGAAGTGGCTTTTCTGGCCAGTGAATCCCTACTTTTTGGTCTTTTTTATTTTTTCATTTTTTCATGCACACATCACACCACATACTCCGGCATGCACTGGCTGTTGGTAACCACCCAGGAGAATGAAAGAAAAGTCAGGAAGAGTCTGAGAAAGAGAAGAAAGACGTGTGCACACACGCACACACACACGGACATACACACCCACACACGTGTAAAGTTACAACAGAATTGCAACAAGAAGAAGACCAAAACATACACTAAGATCAGTGCTCACCTCGCATTTGACACCATGTGCCATGAGGAACTCGGTTAGCTGATGAACATCATGCTGATGCTGTTTGATGCGTTCCCTCTGATTCTCTTCACCCTGTGTATGACGGACACGCATGAACAAAGTGATGGGGTGATACAGAAATCTTCACCCAATGTCACACAGTTTACAATGCATGTTCTCCCAATTGGACTCGCATGGAGAGCCAAGGCTGATTTATAGGAAGAAATAGGACCAATGAACTACAAGTACTTTAGCTACACTATAAGGTCCACTAACGCCACCAGCGCATCCAAGACATGCTAGAGCTGATTGGCAGTTAGTTGTAGGACGTCAGCACCGCTGGTCAGTGTCGTGCAATGTTATCGCATGAGCTGATTGTTTAGTAACTGGTGGTGTTAGGGAGCCAATTTAATCAAATGCTTTGTTTGTCACCAGACACCATTGCTATTACAGTACTGGCTGGTGCTGAGGAACTGGGACGTTAGCCTCCTAGCCTAGGCCGTTCCTATTTTCATGTACTACAGTCTATGCACAGTCGAGTCACTGTGTATACATTGGTATGCTGTGCCCTTAGTGAAATTCTAGCCGGTTCATTCTTCGGCGCTCTGTTCCTCAGCACCCGGCAGTACTGTTACTCTGATGAGACTAAACAATGCCAGAACAGCTAGCTGCCCTGGAGAAAGAGTGAATTGAGGTTAATTAACCTAACGCATTAATGAATGGTGGAAGTTGTTGTTGTTGTCGTTGTGTTTATTTTTTTCGCAAACCAAACGGGCAAATCTGCCCAATGAAAAGGTGGTGAATGCAGATAGAAAGCAGTAATAAATGAAAGTGGGGAGGGATGTAATAAGGATAGAGGTGGAGAGAAACTAAGCCAGCTGATCATCAAACAGGACGTTTGGTACTCTAGGTACTAAGGGTGTGCAGGGATCATGCTGGCGCGGAACTGGCGGAGAGTGGAGATGGCACGTATATAGCTCGGTAAGGTGTTCCACTGCTGGTTGCCAGTCATAGATTATCCCCCCCGGAGATGCATCAAGGGGAAGTCATAGAATATGCATGAACACATGACGGTGCCACAAGCTGAAAGCTGTGTGGGTAGTGCACCAACTTATGGCCAGTGTTATAATAATTATAGGGCTTGAAAGTGCTACGTCACAGCCATGGCAACGCTGCCTTTGAGAACCACCTGGTTCCAGTGTTTGTATGGGTCCATATACGGCGTTTGACTGGGTATCCTTCATAGCAGGGTAACACATCTACCGGTTGTGACTGGACTGGGCCCTCCCTGTCAGAAACCCACTCCTGGTAGAGAAAAGAATCACATGTACGACTACGAGGGGCACGACACCAGGGGTCCATCCACCACATCCTGTACTTCACCATCGGCAGAGTGGATTGAAAAGTTGGTACAGCTCTACCCTCGTTAGTAGACAGCCCTGGACGGGGGGGGGGGGGGGGGGAGGGGGGGGGGGAGAGGGGGGGGGAGGGGGGGGAGGAGGGGGGGGGAGGGAGGGGGGGGGCAACATTGTTGCCTTATAACGAGTAGTATCTACTATCCGGACTTGCATGTACGCCTTTCAGGCGGCAGGGGATCAGTTTTGTATCATTGTCTACTAATGAGGTTTGGCTTGTAAACGGTGTCGTGTTGATGTGGACTTCTGACGTCATTGCTCTCCAACCCTATTCCGCATGCCACAGTGACTGTAGAACACAATCATGCAGCAACGGCATGGCAGTGTTCACCAACCAGGGAGCTTTGTTACCGCTTTGGTTGCCAGCTTTGGCCACAGCATGGCACATCGCCAAGCAGATCAGCAAAATATGCCTAACATTACTGTGAGCGGGGGCGTCGGAGACGCTACCGTCACTACAGTATGGACAGTATGGACAGTAACTTATCCCAGTCCCCCCACCCCCCCCCCCCCCCCCCCCACAGCATGGCACATCGCCAAACTGATCAGCTAAAAGAAGCCTACTGTAAGCAGGGGCGTCGGAGACGCTACGGTCATTACAGCATGGACCGTACGTACCCCTCTTTGTCCCCCCCCCCCCACCACCGGATACCCTGTGAATCGATAAAAAGCACTGATCTGAGCTATAACCTTCGAAAATTCTCAGAAAATCCACCTGGACCCCACAAGCAAATTGTACTTTAGGTGGCTTGGCCGTACCGAAATGCCTTCCGACGCCCCTGTATGATAAGTCATATGGTGTAAAGCAGGATTCACAGAAGCTTTTTGCGATGCGACACGCGATGCGACAGCCGCGAAACCGGGAAATCCCCAAATCGCAGCCATCTCGCACCCCACACAACTGCCGCAACTGGGCCATCGCAGAAGTTGAGCTTGGCTCAACTTTTGCGATGCGACAAGCGTACGATTTTGACCTTTTCTACAGCAAAGTCGTACAAAGGTTCAAGAGTTGCGTATAATTTTGTACAACAGCGTGAATACCATGGCGACCTACCCACCTGCATTTAACTTCGCGCCAAATCCACAAGGTGTTGTCGCATCGCTGACTTCTTCTGTGAATGGCATTTCGCGAGTCCGCATCGCACGCGTCCGTCGTAGATTGCGTCGCATCGCATGTCGCATCATAAAAAAAACCTCCGGCGAGTCCCGCTTAAAGGGGAAGTTAAGGCAAAAATTAAAATTTCACCAGTTGTAGTCTTCGGGGTGCTGAGTCGAATGGTCTTGGTCCGAGAAAGCTGAGACGCTCCCTTCCTACTTTAATCCCAATCGAACTCGCGCACTTCCACCGAAACTGGATGACTGCACCCTATTAGATGGGGATTTGTATGCAAAATGTCACTAAAAGCGCCATTTCGTTCTTATAAAAGCACGGATGACCGCGATTGGCCCATATATTGTACTCTTTTGGACGCTGAGTCGACTGGTTTTGGTCCGAAAAGGCTGCGATGCAGCGTTCCTCCTTTATTCCCAATCGAACATGGTTGAACAAGCGGTCACGTGCTCCTGGGTGCCCAAATCACCTGGTCACCACGCTAGCAGGCGACAACTTTCACACCAAGGTTCAACTCAAGTGACAGGACTGCACCCAAAAAAGGTCAAACAGGCTAGTAAGTTGTACCCTGCAGGCACGGTGACCAGGTGACTGGCGTACGCAGGAGCACGTGACCGCTTCTTCAACCATGTTCGATTGGGAATAAAGGAGGAACGCTGCATCGCAGCCTTTTCGGACCAAAACCAATCGACTCAGCGTCCAAAAGACTACAACATATGGGCCAATCGCGGTCATCCATGCTTTTATATGAACGAAATGGCGCTTTTAGTGACATTTTGCATACAAATCCCCATCTAGTAGGGCGCAGTCACCCAGTTTCGGTGGAAGTGCGCGAGTTCGATTGGGATTCAAGTAGGAAGGGAGCGTCTCAGCTTCCTCGGACCACGACCATTCGACTCAGCCCCCCGAAGACTACAACTGGTGAAATTTTAATTTTTGCCTTAACTTCCCCTTTAACTGTCAGGACACCTGGTCATGGCGACTGAATGTTGTGGATGCATAAATTAAAATTGATGCAAGTGCTACATTGATGGGTTTGAATCAGTGTGTGTGTGTGTGTGTGTGTGTGTGTGTGTGTGTGTGTGTGTGTGTGTGTGTGTGTGTGTGTGTGTGTGTGCGTGTGCGTATGTGTACATGTATGTGCTCGGCGTGGTCCGAGCAAAGCTCTTGATGATGGATAGCCAGCCAGGGAGGGTTCCGAGCATGTATGTCGATTTTTGCTCACGTCAGGATTGCATTGCACTTGCCTCTATCATGCACACGTAAACAACTGCTCAGAATATTTATCCTGCAAATCAATGAGCATATATTTGCCCCCCCCCCCCCCCACATTCTTCTTCTAATTCTCCAAGTTAGTTAGTTCAAGCGCATTCGAGTTGTATTCCAGGAGTATAACTATTACTTGCCTGGTCAGATGTCGGATCGGGAAAGTAGCTGACGAACACCGAGCGAGCGAGAGTGCAGCTAGCCGCAGAGACCGCCATCGACCCAGCGACCGTAGATCTACGTGTACTGCAGTACTGACAGGGCGACGCTCACAGCTAACGATACGCCACCCAAGAAAGCGCAGGACTCCGCGGCGTTATCGAGGCCTCCAGCACACTACGGCCCGCCGGTCACACGGACCAACATCACCTCTTATTGGCTACACACACGGGCCTCGGATCGCGCCCAACCACCAAAGTATCCTTCACTTCAACCGACCCCAAGCGGGTGATTTTCCAGCGTTTCGCTATAACACAGGACCCAAACGAGCTTTGGAGAATACCCTTATTTTCTTGAACGTGAGCCGAGGGTTTGCCCATCTGCCATTCCCACTCGGGATAATGTTCGGAACATCTTCATTGAACAAGGCGCAACACTGCTGAAAGCAGGCGAAAGAGAAATGCTCATCTTCCGATCGTCGCATGATATGAAGGAGTTCCGCTCACTTTACGAAAGGGTGAAACAAAATTCGTAGATCTACGCCACCCATTTACCATGATTTACCACTACAGACTGTCAGTATTAGTAGTAGATCTACTGCAGACCTTGCGCTTGCATGATCATGTCATGATGTCGACTGTTCTCCGGTCGGGCGCTGAATCAATGTCAATGACCATGTACTAACCACAGTCTGTTTACGTCAGTGCCAGTGGTTTATGTATGGATATTGCACGGTTCCGAGGGGATTATTTTTCAAATCTCCAAGGCGCGCAGCGCCGCGGGGATTATGAAAAATAATCCTCGCGGACACTGTGCAATACCTGTACAGTCTGTATCGGCTATCTAGGCCCCCGTGTAATATGCCGGCATTTTTTTGAGCATTTTCGGTACAATCCGCGAACCCAGCACTTTGGGCTCGTGATGCAGCATTTTGGGGGAAACGGAGCACTTGGCCGTTGTGTATCAAAATAATTGAGAGAAGAAAAACTTCCCAAACAAGAACGTCACTTCCGCATTCCGTGGGTTAGCTTCTTGTTGAGTAGTTTATGAATTGTTTACCATGCCATGGCAGACTCGAGCAAGTCTCTTATTGAGTATTTTCTGACTCCCTGGTTTTGACGGCGTGTGCTGAGGATGACAAAAAAGTGAGCATTTTCCGAGCATTTTCGGCACGGTTTGGGAGCATTTTCGGCAAGGTTTACGAGAATTTCCCAAAAGCATTTTCGGCAAAGTTTCGGGCATATTACACCGGGGCCTAGCTATAGCTAGCGTACCCTTTTGATTTCCGTGATTTTATCACTATAACCAATGCATCACTATAATATTATGCGATACGATCGATTTTTTTCTTCTTTTTTCGATCGACACATGAAAGGCAAGGAAATACTTCCAGCATGGCGTTTTGACAAATGAGCATGCTGCATAGTTGACAGTGCCCGCATTTCCTTAAAAAATCTGTTATGTACATGATTGTACATGTATCACTATAAAAATAAGCAACGTGAAGAAAGTACAAAAATAGGGTCTTTGATATTATTGCTACATGTATTTTAAAGTTATCACTATAGCCGATAATAGTTATAGTGTGTTATGCATGTTTTGATTCTTTGTTGCCATCATAATATCCGATGTATCATTACATCCGATAATATTGGTTATAGTGATATTTGTACTGGATAAAAATAATACGTTTTGCTTTTGATATTTCGTACCAATATCACTGTATTTAAAGAGTCGGCGTGGAGAAAGCAATTTTATTAGTGCAATTAGGAGTACATTGTATAATCGATGCAGACATGGCCAGACAACAACGAGTTCATGGAATTTTTAAGGATTTTTATGTTATTCAAAATCGATTTTCGTGTTCCGCTCATCAGTGAATAGTATCGGAACTGAGGGTACTGTGTACAAAAATAGAACATTTTATAACAGCATAATTAATTAAAAGTGTAATGGACCGTATGCGTGTTAAAACAAAATGGCGTCACGATTTATTGAAAGTGGTATAGTTGGTGGTACGAGTGTTCAAACCCATTTGAACTTCATACTGTTCGTCTTCTTTTTGACATGCTCTCTTTCCATCGTCCTTAGCTTTTGTTTGTTGAGAGCTGTTTTGGCTTTCTCCTATACCTCTGGGGGATGCCAAGTGATGGTTTTGAGAGGCTGGTGATGGCTGTGAGCGAGAGTTTGCCGATCGGCGTCGTCCTCGCTATAGCGATGAAAATACTAGTTACTGCGCACCTGGCAGATATCACAACACGTCGGAGCGTCCAGGAGCAAAGGAATCTTGGGTTTTCACTGGAATCTAGCTCCTCCAGCATCGTGTAGCCCACCGTCGGTGAATGGCGGTCCAGAAAGGTCGAACCTGGTCTTCTGCAGCATCTCGCAGTCCTGCGAGGCACACTGAATACGCTTGTCATGTATTCTACAAATAAAAATCACGAAGTAGTGGACTTTACAGTGATGAGTCTATCCTGTATACTGCAAAAGACGCAGGAAATGTGACTGGTGTCCGTACACTGGACGCCAATATCATCCCAGTCTTCTCCTGCAGGATCTGTTTGACATTGACATACCGATATGTAGTGGGTCGACATTGGCCTGGTTTGGCAGCTATCTGCCTGGGTGGATGTAGCAGGTTTGCATTGGCGCGTCGTCCAGTCCGACATTTTCTTGTAACTGTGGAGTACCGGCAGGGTTTGAGAGGTTGCTCGTGCTGTGAACACATCTCCACTGCCTGTCTCGTCCTGGAAGTGCCGTCTCGCCGCTTCCTTGCTCTACAGTCACGCTGTTATTTCGCTTTGTTTCGTGGTGCAGCTCAAAACCTGCCCAAACAACTGTGAGCTCGCAACATGGTATGGACAAATTGCACCACTCATGCTGGTTACTAAAACCGGGATAGTCGAGTAAGCGAGTTCACTCCCTGGGCCATGGCAAGATCTGTTCCGCGCGGGCTATTCCAACCTCCAAGTGCATAGTCACCCTGTAACAAGACGGCAACGTCTGTAGGGCCTTCCCTATCAAAATAATAAATTCTACTACTACTACTACCGATCGATCCATGCGATGGTGGTTGACCTACAAAGAGCCAAGGTCTACGAGTACTACTATTGGATGCTGTCTACATGCAGTCAACAAAATCAAAGTACCTCAGTATGCCCCAGAATAGGGCATGTGCATCTATAGCATGACACAACAGGGGTTCTGGCGGCACCTGTCAAACAAGCAGTAGGGACTAGTGCCAGCTACCTATTGGAGGCTGGCCGCTACAGTCTGTCACTGGAGATAATTATTATGTTCACTGTTTAGACTGAGCACAATCAATCTGCCCAATGTGTGTTCTGTTCCACCTAATTATAACGTCCCATCGCATCAACCCTACTACACGCACATGTCGTCACTCTAGCACGACTTGTGTTATTATTGTTTATTTTGATTCGCACAATAAATAGAGCACAATAAACGTTAATTTGACCGAAGGTTAAAGGTGACTGCAGATAGAGGAACACATCGAGGTACAGGTACCGGCATCAATACAGTATCAGAGAGAAACAAACAAAAATGAGAGGTACGCAGAAAAAACTCTCGTAAGCCCAATGGGAAGTGGTTAATGAGGGATGAATGCACTCTCCACGCTCATCTACACTGTTCGTGGAAATGCACACATACATACAATAATATACAACATAGCAATAGCATGCACAGAACCGAACAATTTCATGTTCACACATGCAAGCACAGACCTGAACATTAGTACCAAAAGCCGATACAGACAATATCCCCATACACACAGACGCACACACACACACACACAATGTCCCATGTATGCGCCCGTGGCAAGAAAAGCACGCAAATCTACAAATGCACTGGATGTGAACCCACAGATTTTCTCTTATAGCAACGATAGCGGATCTGATTCTGAATGAAACACACACACACAATACAATCATTGAATGCCCATCCGCAGATGATGGCAGGTCCTGAAAGAACAGGCAGTGTTCCAGTGATGGGGAACAGAACTTCGAGTGGCGAGTGAGGTATACGCACACACACACGTGCGTGCGCGGGCACACACTAAAGTATTCAGAAATAGAATCGACATCGTAGTATTCATTGGTTGGGGAATGGAAAGGAAAATAAAACATTGCTGTAGGTTATTGTTGTAAGGACACTGGGAGCACAACAGAAAGGTAAGCAACTTGCTTTGAAGCAAAGAAAGTTATTATTCCATGGATCTCAGAAGGAAGGAATGTTCCAGAATGCTGCACTGGCAACAGGCGGCCTGCATGTGCGCGGCCCCTGCAGTCGGTCCAGCTGCCGGCCTTGCAGTGCTGAAAAGAATGTGCAGTACAGCATGTCACATAGTATCGCAGCCTGGACAAATAGGCGCTGGGAAGTCCTAGTTATGTGCTCACCTACACCACGATGCACCAATCTTCTGAGCTACTTTGGCAACAACTTTGTCCACTTGAGACTCCCATGGGCTGAGCCAGTTATAGAGGGTTGCACCAAGGTGGACGGCAATGACCGCTGATGGCAAGGCAATCCATGACACACAGTCACTAGGGCATCGTCAACATGGCGCTGAGGCTGGATCGATAAAATCAACCTTTAGGCTGCCGCGGGGTTGACAACGAGGCCGCTGTCTCGAAGCTAGTCAGTCAGCCTGGTCACTGCCATTGACGAACCAGTCGCCACCGCCAGCAGTGGCGGTAGGTTGTGACAAGTGTGGTGCAATATTGTCAGCAAATTCAGTACTTAGGATAAGATGAGTGACAAAGGGAACGTTGTGTTTGATAATATTGAAGTGAACAGGGATGATCACAAACCCTGCGCGTACTCCACCATGAGTTACAAGAAAATTCCGGACTGGACGACGAGCAAACACCAACCTGCTACATCCAACCAGGCAGATACTATTACGATAGCTGCCAAACCAGGTCAATGCCGACCTACTGCATAATGTCAATGTCAAACAGATCCTGCAGGAGAAGACTGGGGTGTTGGCGTCCAGTCACTGAGTGTACAGACACCAGTCACATTTCCTGCGTCTTTTGCAGCATACGGGATAGACTCATCACTGTAAAGTCCACTACTTCGTGATTTTTATTTGTAGAATACATGACAGGCGTATTCAGTGTGCCTCGCAGGACTGCGAGATGCTGCAGAAGACCAGGTTCAACCTTTCTGGACCGCCATTCACCGACGGTGGGCTACACGATGCTGGAGGAACTAGATTCCAGTGAAAACCCAAGATTCCTTTGCTCCTGGACGCTCCGACGTGTTGTGATATCTGCCAGGTGCGCAGTAACTAGTATTTTCATCGCTATAGCGAGGACGACGCCGATCGGCAAACTCTCGCTCACAGCCATCACCAGCCTCTCAAAACCATCACTTGGCATCCCCCAGAGGTATAGGAGAAAGCCAAAACAGCTCTCAACAAACAAAAGCTAAGGACGATGGAAAGAGAGCATGTCAAAAAGAAGACGAACAGTATGAAGTTCAAATGGTTTTGAACACTCGTACCACCAACTAT